CTACTTCTTCTACTACTACTACTGCTACTAGTATTGGTACTAGTACTACGACTACTGCTGCTACTACGACTACTACGACGACGACTACTACTACTACTACTACTACTACTGCTACTATTACTACTACGACTACGACTACTACTACTACTACTACTACTACTACTACTACTACTACTGCTACGACTACGACTACTACTACTACTACTACTACTACTACTACTACTGCTGCTGCTGCTACTACTACTACTGCTACTACTACTACTACTAGTACCGCCACCACCACCAACACCACCACTACTACTACTACTACTACTACTACTACTACTACTACTACTACTACTACTACTGCTGCTGCTACTACTACTACTACTACTACTACTACTACTACGACTCCTACTACTACTACTACTACTACTACTACTACTACTACTACTACTACTACTACTACTACTACTACTACTACTACTACGTCGGTTCCAGGTGGGAGCAACTGTGGCCACCGTTGCCTGCGCGAGAATGCATTCCCTTCAGGGTTGCGAATCTCTCCAGATCAAACATGAAATATATTTTGCAAAATACGTTTCGTTGAACGGCCAGCGCGAGCCACAATAACTCCCATCCAGCCGCGCGACGGGCCACACTACCACCCAACGGGCCACAGTACCACTCAACGGGCCACAGTAACAACCAATCGCAGGGAGGAGGAGGCGGAGGAGGCGGAGGAGGAGGAAGAGGAGGCGAAGGACAGGGAGGAGGAGGAGGAGGCGGAGCAGGAGGAGGAGGGGGAGGAGGAGGAGGAGGAAGGAGGAGGAGGAGGAGGAGGAGGAAGGAGGAGGAGGGGGGAGGAGAGGAGGAGGAGGGGGAGAGGAGGAGGAGGGGGAGGAGGAGGAGGAGGAGGAAACGGAAGTGGTGAGCATCTATACCCATATTAGGCTGTGAGCCTTAAGTCAGTGCTGAAGGCGGGAGGCCAGCGCACATTCGAAAGCGGGGGTCGGCATTGTGAAAACCGATGGAAGGCCCAGACATCTGGCTGTGTCAATTCATTCGATGCGTGGGCCCTTGAGGTCCGCACCACTTCCCTAGGGGCGGTTTTCTGTCCTGAGTCTTGTTGTTGGCACTCCCGAGGCCTGGCGAGGGCCCCTCGGATGCTAAAAACAGCCAAAAACCGCACGCTCCGAGTTCTTCGGGGCGTCGGATCTTTGGGAGGAGTTCTGCTTACAGCGCCTTGCTTTTGCCCCCATTCGCCAGCGTCTGCAAGGGGAGGGGGGGAGGAGCAGCAGGAGAGGAGCGGCATGGCGGGCGGGGGCGGAAAAGGAGAAGAAGCTAGGCAGGGGATGGGGAACGGGGGGCAGGAAGGAGGAGAAACTTCGGGAGGGAGGCGGTGGAGGAGGAAAGAGCAGGGGGAGGAAGAAGGAAGACCAGCTGAAGTCCTCCCTTCAAGTTTGGACGGGAGAGAGAGGGGGGGGGCGAGGACCAGAGTGAACCCAAGACGCACCAACGATGTTGCAATCAATGCTCCCTCCAAGTTCCTTCCTCGCAGGTCCTCGCTAGAAGATACTCTCATTGCAGGAAGTGCCCCATTGGAAGACAACCGTTTGAGAATCCTGAATCGTGCAATCACGCCATCTGGGACGTTACCGCCACAAATCAACGTGACTGGTTCGTCCTGGCAGCCCTAAGTCGTGTCAGAACGTCGCTCCTGGCACTGCAACACAGCGAATACACGTGACTGCTGCGTCAGAGACCATACCAGAACACCACTTCTGGGACCTCAACCGTACGAACCCCGAAACCTGCTCCAAACATCTAAGACACTCTGAGACACGTGTGCGCGGCGCTGGAGCGAGAACCCCAACTTGAAATAGAACCGCCCTCCAGCCGTGAAGCTGCTGCACACTCTAAAAAAGAGAATGTGCGCGGCGCTACGACGATTACACCATGCAGACACACAACAAAACACCCTGCACCTGTGACGCTGCTGCAACTTGGTTAGAACGAATTGCGTGGCGCGAAAGCGAGAATCACGTGCTGAGATTTGAAATTGGTCCGCCAACCATCCGCGAAACTGCTCGAAACTTCGAATCCGAATGTGCGCGGCGCTGAAACGAGAACCGCATTTTGAAAACGGCCCGCCCTCCATCCGTGAAGCTGTTGCAAAAGTCAAGCTGCAGGATCATACATAGTGAGGAAGTCTCCGTTGAAACGCTCAGCCCTACATACCGACACGTCTGGGAGCGCGAGAGGGAGGAGTTATTCATGATGGAGGGATAATATGCAAGAGGGAGGGGGGAGGATGGCCGAGTAGGAGGGCAGAGGACGAGGAGAAGAGAATGGTGCCTCTAACCTCTGCTCCCACGGCTTACGGAGGAGGAAGAGGAGGATGAGGAGGAGGAAGAGGAGGACTAGGGAGGGAGGGATGAGGACAGAAGGGCGGAATGAAGAGGAGAGGAGGGGAAAGGTGGTGATATGATGGGATGAGGAGGGAGCAGGAGGGGGGAGAAGGCGGAAGGTAGAGTGGGCGAAAGAGAAGCAGGGAGAACAGGGAGGAGGAGGGGATAAGAACGGGGCTCTGACAGGGTGGGAGTGCGGGGGTGAAGAGGTGGAGAGAAGGAGGCGGCGGTGGACATGGAGGAGGATGAAGGATGAAAACGACGAGAGCAGAAGGATGGGCAAGCGAAGATGCAGAGGAACCGCATTCATGGCATGGGCTGCCGTGGTGCTGACATGTGAGGGCCGTGCGTCGCAAGATGGGGGCCTCGGTGCCCCGATCCGGCCCCAGTAGCTTCGCCTCGAGGGCAACTGGCTTCCACGGCACCGGGCGAGGGGGTTCTGAGCAAATTGCACGCCAAATGCCTGGCGGGAGGGGTTCAGGAACCAGGCACCAGACGGTGCACAGAGGCGCATGCTGGAGCGGAGAGCAGCAAGTCCTCGCGTGTCCAAGCAGAGCGAGAAGGTGCGAAATGCATACCGAAGTGCATCGGCAGATGGCGACTCCGTCACAAAATAGGACATGCTCAGTACGACTCCATGCATACACGGGGAGGTGCTATGGCAAACTGGCAGGCCACTTGTGTTTGTACGCCTGGGGGGGGGGAGTCTGTGATCGAGTGAGAGGTTCTGGCGCGTGAAAAAGAACCGCCGATGCCGACTAGGCAGAAGCCCAGGCGCAGATCATACGCACACAAAGCTCTAATCCCAGACATCTGACGACATGACCCTGGGGCAACTGCGCACCCCATAACACGGCCCCATAGCTCCCGGCCCACTCCCTGGGGCAACTGTGCGTCCTGGGCTTGGTTTTGATGGCCCCAGAGCCCGACAACGGGCCGAGAAAAAACGCCAGGAGTGAACAAATCCTATCGTCGGAAATGAAGGGGCTCAAGGACACACAAATGAATACACACACATAACAGGATCCCCCATGTTTTCCAATATTTTCTGGGTTTTTGTCTTCCCCCCACTTCCCATATTTTCCTATACTTTCCTGGGAGTCGACGATGAATTGTGTCTGTGTGTTTTTTCCCCTCCTGAGGACAGCTGTGTTCCCTGGACCTCGGGCCTTGCCTCGCGCCTCAAGCGGCCGTCTGGAACGCCCTGGGCACATCCAGGACGCGGGAGGAGGAGGAGGGATGATGAGGAGGAGGGGGAGGAGGAGGAGGAGGAGGAGGAGGAGGAGGAGGAGGAGGAGGAGGAAGGTGATGAGGAAGAGGAGGAGGAGGAGGAGGAGGAGGAAAAGGAGGAGGAGGAGGAGGCGCAGCCGCTGAGCAGAGAAGAGACACCCGCAGCAGGCCCGACTTCCTGCCGGCTCCCCGCCGCTGGGGGGGGCGGGTCCTGCTGCCTCGGGTACGCCGGCGGCGGTGCCCAGTGCCCTGGAACCTCGTTGCCCTGGAACCTCGTCGGCACGCTTGGTGCGGGCGGGGATGACAAAAAGGGCGAGATGGCCCAAGCTCCAGAGAACTGCCTTCGCAGCCTCCTCGTGTTCCCCCTTCTCCGCCTGACCCCCTCCTCCTCCTTATCCCTCCGCCTCCGCCTCCTCCTCCTCCTCCTCCTCCTCCTCCTCCCTCGTCCTCGTCCTCGTCCCTCGTCCTCGTCCTCGTCCTCGTCCCTCGTCCTCCTCCTCCTCCTCCTCCACCTCCTCCTCCTCCTCCTCCTCCCTCCTCCTCCTCCTCCTCCTCCTCCTCCTCCTCCTCCTCCTCCTCCTCCTCCTCCCCTCCCCCTCCCCCCCTCCCCTCCCCCTCCCCCTCCTCCTCCCCTCCCCCCCCTCCCCCTCCCCCCCCCCTCCCCCTCCCCCTCCCCCTCCTCCTCCTCCTCCTCCTCCTCCTCCCTCCTCCTCCTCCTCCTCTCCCCCTCCTCCTCCTCCTCCTCCTCCTCCTCTCCTCCTACCTCCTCCTCCTCCTCCTCCTCCCCCTCCTCCCTCCTCCTCCTCCTCCTCCACCTCCTCCTCCTCCTCCTCCTCCTCCTCCCTCCTCCTCCTCCCCTCCTCCTCCTCCTCCTCCTCCTCCTCCTCCCTCCTCCTCCTCTCCCCTCCTCCTCCTCCCCCTCCCTCCCCCTCTTCTCCTCCTCCTCCTCCTCCTCCTCCTCCCTCCTCCTCCTCCTCCTCGTCCTCCTCCTCCTCCTCCTCCTCCTCCTCCTCCTCCTCCTCCTCCTCCTCCTCCTCCTCCTCCTCCCCCTCCTCCTCCTTCCCCCCACTCCTCCCCAAACATCATGGTACATCGCTTCGTGCGCGGCGCATGGCCCGAACGCGCTCGCCATTGCCGAGCCTGCGCGCCGGCCTCGCGGGGCCGAAGCGTGCAGAGTATAAGCATATGTTAGATGGCGCTTGGTCAAAGAATGCGGGGGGGGGGGGACGTATCAACAAAATACAGCTGAACATGCGATTACGACAACGATCGTGTTAGAAACCTGGGCCAGCATCCCAGAAGTTTCTTGAAACAAGCCTGGGCCAATTCCTGTTGTTGAAGCTGGAGGGGCGAACGTGCTCAAGAAACTAGGGCCGGCTCTCCGGCGAGTTGGTCGAGAAACGCTGGTTCAGCTTTTCGGGAGGAGGTTTCTTAATCAGATGCTCGACTGCAATTTCCGAATCTTCGGCTTCCGCTTCGCTTCGGTGCCGTCTGGCCCGTCGGCTGTCCAGGCGCGCGCCCGACGAGGGCGGGAGGCAACGGTCACAAAGCAGTCTCCTTGTCTGGGGCCCGTTTGTCGAATCATCATCCTGGCAATTCTTTTATCATCATCCTGCATTATGTTCAAGTGGTGCCGACCAAAGGAAGATGTCGCCGCGCCGTGTATCCTCGACGCGCCCAAATGGGCGACGCCAACACCACGGCAAACCCACGGAAAGCCCTGAGCCCCGCGCCCCAGGTGGACGAGACCGGCGCCGCGGCAAACCCACGGCAAGCCCACCGCGCCCGAGGCGGGGTTTGCCCTGGTGCCCGCGGCGCCCTCCCAGAGACGCAAGGCCGCGCGTCGGAACAAACAGCACGGCGATACTTTTACCTGAAGAAACTAGAGGGTACCGATATTTCTGCTCCCCGGACTTCTCCCGGGGTGCGTTTCTGACCAAGGACATCGAGGCGAATCCAGCGGTGGCGACGAGGGCCTCCCAGGAGGCAGAAAAGGGAAGGACCGAGGAACGGGTAGAGGTATGGGTACTTTTTTTCCTCCTCTACTAATCATCAGCCTGCATTCCGTTCAGGCGGCTGCCGATCAGAAGAGGATGGAGACGACGACGGCAAGATAGGATCTCGGGTGCAGCACGGCCCTCCAGGGTGGACGCTGCTGGACGCTGCCGCGCCCCGAGGGCTGCAGTGCCCGCGGAGAGCTGCCTCCCCTGCCCCGCTCCCGAATGGACGGGGCCCAGGGGCACACAAATAAATAGGCACAGATCCCAGGATCCCCTATATGTTTCAATACTTTCTGGACGTTCGTCTCCCCCTCCTCCCTTCCTGTATTTGCCGATATGTTCCTGGGGATCGACGTTTCATTGTGTTTATGCGTGTTTTTGCCCCTCCTGAGACCCCTCGCAGATTAAGCTGCGCCCGCGAGCTGAAGACGAAGAGGGGCGACGATCGCGTGTAACTTGGGCTGCGCCAGCGCGCCCAAAGCGAGGAGGATCGAGTTCCCAATTCAGTTCCCAAGCCCTTCAAGACCGTTCGTGAACAACTCGGGAAACTATGCTTCTGGCTCGAGCTGGGGCGCCAAAGACGTTGCTCTACCCCCGGTCGCCCATTCGCCTATGAGGCGACCATGCTGCTGCCACGCTACGCCGAGGAGGACCGAGGAGGACCGAGGAGGACGAGGGAGAAGGGAAAAGAGGAGGGACAGGCAGCCCCAGCGTCGAGCCCACCCTCTCCGCGCCACGCGCCAGGCAGCCCCCATCCATCCCCCTCCCGACCCAACTCACGCGGTTCGCCCCCCGAGCGCTTGCTAAACTCACGCGCGCGCCCGACAATACACGTTCGGCCCCGACCCTCTTTCCTCCGAGCCCGAACAAACTGTTCGGCCCGCGCCACCGGAACGGGCTCCGCGAAGCGGCGTGGCGCGGTCAGTCTCGGTACGATGTGGCGGCGCTTGGAGGCGGCCGTGGGGTCTGAAGAGCTTGTTCCCAACCATCCTGTGGTGTTGGGTCCTCGTTTTGAAGAGACGGCCCCCGTGTTCCTCCTCTCCTCCTCATGCTCCTCCTCCTCCTCCTCCTCGTCCTCCTCCTCCTCCTCCTCCTCCCTTCCTCCCTCCTCCCGTCCTTGCAGGGGTTCAACGCACCGCTCACGCGTTTCGTGGCCCCATTGGGAGCTCCGCCGAAGGCCCCATCAGCAGGGTCCACATGGCGTACCCGCACCCGATTCGGAACGCCCTCTCACACGCTTCGTGGCCCCATAAGAAACTCCACCGAGGGCCCCAGCGGCAGGGTCCACATGGCGTACCGGCATACGATTCGGCACGCCCCTCACACGTTCCGTGGCCCCATGGGGAGCTCCATCGAAGGCCCCAACGGCAGGGTCCACATGGCGTACCCGCACCCGATTCGGCATGCCCTCTCACACGCTTCGTGGCCCCATGGGGAGCTCCACCGAGGGCCCCAGCGGCAGGGTCCACATGGTGTACCGGCATACGATTCGGCACGCCCCTCACACGCTCCGTGGCCCCATGGGGAGCTCCATCGAAGGCCCCAACGGCAGGGTCCACATGGCGTACCCGCACCCGATTCGGCATGCCCCTCACACGTTGCGTGGCCCCATGGGGAGCTCCACCGAGGGCCCCAGCGGCAGGGTCCACATGGTGTACCGGCATACGATTCGGCACGCCCCTCACACGCTTCGTGGCCCCATGGGGAGCTCCACCGAAGGCCCAAGCGGCAGGGTCCACATGGCATACCCGCATACGATTCGGCACGCCCCTCACACGCTTCGTGGCCCCATGGGGAGCTCCACCGACGGCCCCAACGGCAGGGTCCACATGGCGTACCCGCTCCAGATCCGGCACACCCCTCACACGTTGCGTGGCCCCATAGGGAGCTAGCTCCACCGAGGTTCCAGTGGCCCAGTCCGCATGCGTTTCCCCCACAAGCCCGCCGCAACGCTCGGTCACGTGGAGCTGAGCCTAAGCCACTTTTTCGAGCAGGCGCACCTAGGATTCCCACCCCGCCTCCTCATCACATCGCAGGTGGGTCATCACCATCCATACGGGTCTCCGTATTCCAGTCGCCCTTCGTCGGCTTGCGGACCGAAGGCGGAGTGGTTTTCGTGGACCTTTTCTGTGTACTCACTTCGACCCTCCTCACGTCGTGCGCTTCCCCAGGGGGTCCCTGCCGAGAGCCTTGCACGAGCCAGGCCAGTTACATATTCAGAGCGTGTCTCTTGCCTCTCCCTTCGGAAGCTTCATGCTCTAGCGTCGATGCCCGGTCAGGCGCACCACGAGGCACGACTGGCAGTGGTCACCTCGTCATCTCTCTGCAGGTGTGCTCCTTTGCTTCCTGCTGTCGTGGGGCTGCCCGTTGCAACTTCACCGGTTGCCACAAACATGCTTGTCCATGGTGCCGTACCCGGCTCTCCGCCTGCCACCACCTGACCACTGAGCTGACTCCTGGCTGTTTGACAAGCCATGTGATCCACGCACTGCCACCAGGGTGAACCAGGGCTGGCTTAGACCAGAGACCTCTAGCGGGGGGGGGGCAGGAGAGGATGACCAGGAGAGGATACGCGGCCCGCTCTGCAACCCTGCAGCCCAAAACATGCCACCTCTGCGGGACGACTCTTCCGCTCCCGCCGGCCTCCGCCCGCTTCCCCTGCACTCTCGCCGGCATGCGCCGACGGAGGCGGCCCCGCTCTGCCTCCGCCGCCCCCCGCTGGCACTCCGCCGAGGAAGAGGTGACAGCGTCCTCGAGTCTCGAAGGCTGGGCCCTTCCACGGGACGCGCTATGGGAGCGGAGGTGGAGGGATCGACGACCGACGACGGCAGGGGAGGGGAGAGGGGGACGCTCGGGAGGGACGGCGCCAGGCGGCGCTTCTTCTGCACGGTGGCCTGGGGATCCTGGGAGGGTGGCACTCGTGCGGCCACCGCGGAGAGAGGAGGGAGGAGGCGGGAGGTGGTGGAAGGTCTGCTTCCCGCCGTCTGCACATTGAGGTCGAGTGCCGGGCGGATCTACGTATTCACGTGAGGCGCGAGGAGGATGGAGTGAGTGAGGGAAGCTTGGATTGCGAGGCCGATGAAGCACGAAGCCTGTAAGCGAAAGGCGGCACACAGCTGGCATAAAATGAGAGCGCCAAGATATGCCTGTACTATACGACCAACCTTCGGGTGATCAGGATATTGGGGGGAGAAAAAAGAACCAACTGCTGGCAACTGCGATGGGTGTGATGATGACGATGCTGGTGGCGCGCCCTCGAGTTGGCGACGACGCGTGATGACGATGTTGTGCCGCGATGTGATGCCACTATCGACCCAACTATCGATCACACTACCGATCTCAGCACATCTCGGTCGTTATCGACCTCACTATCGGTCTCACTATCGATCGGGACAGCCTCGGGACACCACGGCGGGATACCGCGGGACACGGGACACCACTGGACACCACGGGACACCGCGGGACACCACTGGGACACCGCGGGACACCACGGCACACCACTGGACACCACGAGACAACATCGGGACACCACGGCGGGACACCGCGGGACACCATCGGGACAACGCGGGACACCACGGCGGGACACCACCAGCCATTGCGCACCCACCGGAGGGCCGGACTTTTGCATTCGAACCGCCCTATCGACGGCGGAATCATTCCTCTCGCGCGCCCATGCAGTTTCCGAATCTCCCTAGCGACAGCGGAATCATTCCTCTCGCGCGCCCTCGCAGCTTTGCCTCGCCCGCACGCATAACACGAACACGAAACCGAAACCGATTTCCCAATGGGGGGCCCTCCGTTCCACTGCGATCACACCCCCCAACCTCCGATGTTAAAGGGACTGGAACGAAACAACACACTGCACTGCGACACGACACAAGGACGACGCGAAACGAGAGCATAATGGTAGGGAAACGAAGGAGGGATAGAGTCGGGATGATGAGAGTGCGGGGAGGGATGGCATGAGCATCGCCCTGTCCAGCCGGAGCTGGTCTCGAAGCCTGAGGTAGGGAACAGGGAACGGAGCGAGGAAGGGCATGGAGAAGAATGGAACCAGGCAGCGAGGGGACAGATGCGGGCACAGCTGAGGCCACTGCTGTCCATGGGGCGCGGGGTATCCAGCCATCGGGGGCATCGGCATGACCACGCCCTGGTTGCCAGGCGGCATGGCCGGATACGCCTCTGCCGGGAGGAGGGGGCGTAGAGTCTACGCCTACGCCGTAGGCGCACGGCAGGAAAGGGCGCGGGGGGCCATTCCACGGCATGCCGCGCGACCTGCTTCTGAATCTCCGTGCGCTCATGCTGCTCATCCCCCACTCCCGATGTAGTCTCCCACTACCGGGGGGCCACAAAAGTGGGGTTGCGGCAAAGATGGGGTTGGAGTGAAAATCGTTTCGGGCGGCCCCTGGAAAAAGGAAGCGCGTTAAACAGGAGCATCCAGCTGGGCCCGCTCCCCAGCCCCACCCTGGGATAACCCTCCCTCTACGAACCCCCGACATTGGCCAGGCAGCACGCTCGAGGTCACACCTGGCACACCAGTGCACAAGAAAACAGCATCGGGGCACGGTGGGCGGGTTGGACAGGAGGAGGAGGAGGGGGAGGGGGACGGGGGACGGGGAGGTTGAGGAGGAGGAGGAGGAGGAGGAGGAGGAGGAGGAGGAGGAGGAGGAGGAGGAAGAGGAGAAGGATCAGGAGGAGGAGGAGGAGGCGGAGGATCAGGAGAAGGAGGTCCTGAGCTCATGGAAGTAGTCCTTACTGTCGAAGCTGGCTGCGTACAAGGTTTGACCTGAGGCGGCCTCCAAGCGACGTGAGTGAGAGAGCCCCCAGTTGAAAGTTGAATGGCGCCTGGAACATAAAATCGAATGTTGCTCCTTCGCGCATCACATGTGAGTCGTAAATCACCACTCTTCTTGCGAACAAAGAACAGACCAACCCTTTCCTTGTAGGTTCGAGTCCATCGTACCAGACCCTCGCCACGAAGTTCACGACAAAATCCCTCCCACTTAGCAGGATGCGCCTACAGGAATGGGTCGAAGCGCAGGTTGGGCAGCCGCCCATTCTTGATGCGGAATGCATACTCCTCGCCGCTGAGAAGAATGGTGTCGCGAAGCCGCTTGAACTTGCGCGACGCAGCCCGGGGCAAAACCTTGTAGATGTCCACCCCGACCAGGTCGCGACTCGGCAAAGAAACCGGCGCCGAGCCAAACGGTGCAATGTTCCTGGCGCGCTCGCTGTATCCGTAGCGAGCGTCTGCACGCAGACTTGCCGCAAGGGCTTCATGCGGGGCGAGCCGTTCCTTCGGCAGAGGTGCGGCGGCAACGGCTTCTCGGACGAGGGACAGGGCAGCCCTCGTCTGCTCACCTCCAGGCCCGCAAGGCGATGCGCCCCCGACGCCCTCCAGCTCCTTGAGGGCCCAAATGGCATCATCAGAGCGCCTGTCCAACCAGGCGCGCCTACAAATACGTTGTCGAACTCCACGACAGAGTAGACCACGAGGGCCCTCGCAATCGTGGTGGCGAGGCAGCGGCAAGAGGTCGCGCTGGCGACCATCAGCCATGCCTGAAACAAAATCTCGCCGTCGCCCTCGGAGAAGACCAACAACTGACTGGCGGCCCGAACAGGGCCACGAAAACGGAAAAGACGAGGGGCGGCTAGCCCTTGCTCGCAAGGGCCGCCTCCTCGCGAGCCTTGCGTCATTCCTTCTGGATCTGGGCCTCGCCTCGAAGCTGTAGAGCAACGTGCGAGGCGAGCAGCGGCGCGACCGCCGCGACCTTCTTGCCGATGCCCTGGAAGTGCTCACTCCCTTTGAACCGCGGCGCCTTCGGGTTGGCAGTGTAGGCCTCCCCCAGCAGCTGCATCCTTCTCGACAGCAGCTCGAAGGACGCCAAAGCAGAGACATCCAACTGGTCGTACGTGAGCGCCCAATCGAAGACCTCCATGAGACTGCCATGCTCATGCTTGACCCTGTCGTTGTCTGGAATGTGAGCGTCCCGCATCCACTTCTCCGTTCTGGTCCGAGGAACGCAGCCCTGGTCTCGAATGAGCTTGCACAACCATAGAGTTGTCCTCGGACCTTGGATGGGGAAGTCCTTCCACGGCGGCTCCTCCAGCAGACCAACCCCATCGGCGTACGGGCGGAACCTCTGTCCCATCTGGTCGTACAGCACTGGAACATTCGGGCGTCGGCCGCGCGGACTGGCGAGTCCGCGGATGAGGGAGCTCCAGCCGTCGGCGGGCCCGCGATGGCTGCCACCAGGCCGCCAGCCGCGGGCACGGCAGCGACAGCAGCCTCCATTTCGCGCTTCCTCGCCTCGAGGATGCCGAGCTTGCTCCCGACCCCGACGCACTCCAGGACAAGCGTAGCGGCCCCCAGTTTGACGAAGGCAAACTTCCCTCGGATGATGGCGTTGGCATCCAGACAATCCACACTCCAGTCCTGCCCCGCCATGACGATCCACTGCGCACCCCCGGCGGGCGCCACCACGGCAGGCCCAGCGGGCCCAGCGGCGGCCCTGGGCGGGGGCGCGAGCACTCCGGCGCCACCGACAGCCGGGGCTCCCCCTCCCGCCAGCGGCGGGGCGGCTCCAGCCGGGGGCCCAACGGCGCGGGCACCAAAGCACCTCCTGCGGCGGGCGGCGCTGCAGCGGCCTGTCCCCCAGGAAGACCACTGCCATCGACCCAACCGTGAACAGCCACACGATCGCGAACGGCAACTGGTTCGGCGTCAACCGCGGCACCATCGACCCCCAGGGCAGCCCTCCACATCTGGGCCTCCGCGATCCCATCATCGAAGATCTGGCGACACTCCGCGTTCGAGTGCAACTGACCGAGCGGCGGGAAGCGGTAGAGCAGGGCGTTGGCAGAGACCCTTGCATGCACAGGCGGCCACCGAGCGCCATGATGTTTTCTTCATAGACGTCGTCATCGGTGTTGCTATCACCCAAGTCACTCCCTGGTTGGCAGAGCAGCAGGCGCTCGTGCCAATATGCCTCCGCGCCCCCGTACCACACCAGGATCAGAAGACCTGGAGCGATGGGCTTCGAGTCGGCCATGCACACGCCGAACGCCAATGCCCCACACGGTGCCCAGGCAACAGCCAGCCGCCAGCCCCGCGATGGCCGCGACCAGCACAGCGAAAAGGCACCAGCCGCCGAGGCCCCGCGCCGCCCTTGGGCAGCTGGCCTCCGGGCAGCTCGGGCAGGCGGCGCCCCCGAGCGTGCACGGCGGGCACTGCAACGCAGGGCACGCCAAGCGTGGAGAGCAGGTGCAATCGGGGCACGACCGCTCACTCTGGCCAGCTCAGACCAAGGACGCGGTGCCCAGCGTCCGCACAGCCTCCCGCGAAGCCTCAACCAGCACGTCGTCGAGCCAGCCAGACATACACGGGGGCACCGTGGCGGATGGGTCGGCGCCGTGCAGACCCTGGAACAACGAAAGGCTGCAGAGCGTGGCAACGGGCGAGGCACGCTAAGCTCCTGCTACCTTCCCCCTACTCGTCTCACTGAACGGCCCCTCTGACATCATTACTGCGCACGCGCTCTCATCATCATCGTCATCGTGACCGTCACCGTCATCATCACCAGCATCATGATGATCAACATCATCGTCATCATCAGTATCATCGTCATCGTCATCGTCATCATCATCATCATCAGCATCATCATCATCACCACCATCATCATCATCACCATCATCACCATCACCATCACCATCACCATCACCATCATCATCATCATCATCATCATCATCATCATCATCATCATCATCATCATCATCATCATCATCATCATCATCGTCATCATCATCATCATCATCACCGCCGCCCCCTCTGGTTCGCCTGCTGCTGGCGGGGCTGCTGCTCCGGGGCCCAGCCGCCCCGGTCCCTGTGGCCCGCCGCCTTGCCGCGGCGGCTCTGCGAGCGAGGCCGGCTCTGCTGCCGGCCCTGGCCCCTGGCAGGAGGGACAGGAATCGAACATAAAGCAAGCTCAAGAATGAGCAAACCGTCTTGGTGCGGACGGTAGAGAATGCTTCGCGCCGGCGGCCCGAGCATCAAAAATGCTTCGACGACGACGTGCGGTCGACACCGGCCGACGACGACAAGAATCCACTGGGAGAAGAATAACAAATCTTCCGCCGCCCGGGGCGCACAGGGAAGCCCGAACCCACGTCGGGCTCGACATCGAAGTCCTCGAAATCGCATCGAAATAGAAATAGAATCGACATCGAAACGAGGGAGTCGAAATCGCATCGACATCAAAATCGACATCGAAATCGAGGGAGTCGAGTCGAATCGAAATCTAAATCCTCGAGACCGCATCGATCCGAATCGACATGGCCGAATTGAAAGCGGTCTCCGGAAATCGCTCGCCGTCGCCGACGCGAGGCGGCTCAGCTCGGAGGCAGCGGCTGACGTGGCTCGTCGTCGTCGTCGTCGTGCCTCGTCGCCGTCGTCGTTGTCGTCGTCGTCGTCATCGATGTCGTGGCTCGTCGCCGTCGCCGCCGTCGCCGTCGCGTCGCCGTCGCCGTCGCCGTCGCCGTCGCCGTCGCCGTCGCCGTCGCCGCCGTCGCCGTCGCCGTCGCCGTCGCCGTCGCCGTCGCCGTCGCCGTCGCCGTCGCCGTCGCCGTCGCCGTCGCCGTCGTCGTCGTCGTCGTCGTCGTCGTCGTCGTCGTCGTGGTCGCGAGGCGGCCCTGCCCGCCGGGCGCGCGGCGGCGCCTGCCGCCCGCGCCAGCGCCCGCGCCGCCGCCCTTCCAGCTGCCCCCGCCCTGCGGGCGGCCCTCCGTCGCGCCGCTCCACCAGTCGCCGGCGGGGCTGCGGGCACGGTGCGCCGGAGCCCTGCGGATTTCTTGTCTGGTTTATTTTCGGGCGTGGCGCAGTGGGGGGGCGCTCACACCTCTAAGGGGCTTTAGTTTTGCTCTCCCCTCACCTGTTTCTCCTGGTGGGGAAACACTCGTCCCTGCTGCTCCTCATCCTCCTCCTTTTCCTCCTCCTCCGTCGTCGTCGTTGTTGCGGGGGGGAGCCTGGGCCAGAAGAACATCCTGCAAGAACATGGGGCCCTCCGTCGGCCGAAACAAACAGAACATCCAGGGGTACCCCCCCCCCAGGATGCCCCAAAACATCCAACGGGCACGAAGAACACTAGGGCACCCACCTGGAAACGACCTCGATCTGATACCTCGGTCCGACTGTAAATGGAGGGGGCGAGAAGGGGTGCAGCTCTCGTGCCCGAAGAGGGGCCTCGGAGGGGCCCGAACCCAAACAAATGGCACGAAAGGTGCACGCGTCTTCGCCCCCCTCCCCCCCCGTCGCCCCCCAGCGTATGCAGCGCCGAATTCTTGTTCGGCATGAGCTGGCCCTGGAGAGGAAAGTTCCTGTGAAATGCAAACTCTCTCAAATCTGGAACACGAGAATCGAACGCGCCATTGCAGGACAATGCGCCACCGGGGTGCATTATCATCCCTTTGCGCGAACACGAAGCAGAAGACAACGACGACGATGAGAACGACGACGGACGCGACGACGACGAATACGATGACAACGGCGAGAGGCCCGCAAAGGGTTCACGAGTGGACACCGAGAATTTCCTGAGAACAAACTTCTGAAAAAAAAGATCCTGCAAGGTACCTTAGACGTTCCTGCGAAGCCCCCGAAAGTCCCCGGAGAAAGAGCACCCTGCGAAGCTCCTGAAAGGCTGTTGACAAGGTCGTCGGAGAGTACAGAAAAGTGCCCGTGGGCTCCTGATGAGCCTCTGAGAATACAAATAAAAAACGCATGGCGGGCTCCTGAACAGCTCCCGACCCCCCGCGAGACGCCCGAGAGGCTTCTGCAAGGCTTCGGAGATGCTCCCGTGGAGCTCCTGCGAGCCACCCTGGAGGCTCGCACAGGAGCCTCCTCCGAAGGCTCCCCCATCGACGACCCGAATGTCGATCCGAAGGGTGGTCCTGGCCGCCCGGATCGCCTTCCGAACCGGACCGATCATGCTTATAAGAAACGAAACAGAGCTTCATTCACCGCCGGCCGCGCACCTCCTCCGAAGGTCCCTCTCGACGACCCGAATGTCGATCCGAAGGATCGCCCCTGGCCGCCCGGCTGGGCCTCCGAGACGGACCGCTTTATGCTCGAGAAACGAGGCAGCAGTGGATTCCCCGCTGGCCGCGCGCCTCCTCCGAATGCCGATTCGGCGACGTTTCGCTGGCACCTTCTGGGGGTCGTCTGTCCGGCGCGCGCAAGTGGCGCCCTGGGCCGTGGGCCCCACGGGCCCGCGAGTCCAGGGCCCTCGGGCCCGCAACTTCCGGGGGCTGTTCGGCCGAGGGCCCCCGCCGCAGTGGACCTCCTCCTTCTTCTCGTCCTCTTTCCTCTCTCCTCGTCCTCCTCCTCCACTTCCTTCTCCTCCTTCTCCTCCTTCTCCTCCTCCTCCTCCTCCTCCTCCTCCTCCTCCTCCTCCTCCCCCTTCTTACCTCGTAGAGCTCTTCGGCAAAGACAGCCCGCGGCTTCCTGGGGCGCGCTGTCACGGCCAGCCCGTCAGCCCGCATCACAAGGATGCGCGGGGGAGGATGCAGGGGCCTCGGAGGGCCACGTCAGCGTTCTTCGAACGAGGCTGGCTAACGAAAGTGGCCGAGGACTGAGCTGCGAGTCAACCCGCATGGTCCTGGCCAACGAAAGTGGCCGAGGACGGACCGAAGGGGCAAGGATGCCATCGCTTCCGCACCGAGCACATTCCTTTTGAGCTTGTTTCAGCGGCTCGCTCTCAAAACGTGGCTCTTCCTAAAAACTTCTTCAAATTCTATGAGCGGGACGTCCAATTCGCATGCCGGATGCACGGCTGGAGGGCGGCCCCTTTCCAAACTGGGGCTCCCGATTATGACCCCCTGTTCTTCAATCGAACGCTTGAATTTGTAAGGCCGCTACACACGGGTGGAGCGCAGCTGATTTTTGCACCGAGCTATCGCCGCACAGTGCCTTTGAAGTGTATCGTCCTGCTGCTTTCCGTTTTGCCGATCTGGAGCGGTGCAGGGCGGCTCCTCCTACACAGCGAGGTACCGCCCGAGAGGCACGCCCACCGGGCGCCCGTCATTCAAGGAGTGCGGACCCCACACGGAAAAGGAAGACTGGTGGGCGACCCTTGAAAAAGAAACCTGGGGCGGGAGGGTATATTGCAGCATCCTCGATGCAACCTAAGTCTACTCTGGTCCTCCTCCTCATCCCCATCCTCCCTCCCTCTCCTGGCGGTCCTCCTCCACTGGCGATTCACTCTGGTCGTCCTCCTCCACCTCCCCCACCTTCCTCCCTCCATCCCCCCCTCCTTTCCCTGACGATCTTCTCCACTGGCTTCCCTCCTCTCACATCGCCACAGGCTGGGAGGGAACACGGAGATGAATGGGGTAGGGGGGGGGAGGGCTGGGAGGAGGAGAAGCATTGAGGACGTGAAGAAGGTGAGGAGGGACAATGACGGGACGGAACTGGAGGAGGAGGAGGAGGAGGAGGAAGAGGAGGAGGAGGAGGATTAGGAGGAGAGGGAGCCGAGAACACGGAGTAGGGAAGAAGAGGAGCAAGACGGCAATTCCGCATTCTTTGCCCCCGTCCTCCCCCCTTGTTTTACTCCCTCCAGCTCCAGCTCATCCCCGCTCCTCTTCGATCTGTTTCACATTGCCCCGAAAGTCGAGAAACGGCGCGAACCATATTAAACACACCACCCCTCCTATCCGGTACAAGCCAGCTCATGTGTTCCGCTTGGTCGGCCGCCGAGGGCGACCATGGTTTAGACGGCCACGGTGCATTGATAAAGGGTGGTGTGGCAAAATCGGTGGCACACCCTTCGCAATGCAAAAGACCAAGTCATACGGATGTGCGGTAATGCGGCAATGTCCTTGGACGCGAAGTTCGAATCCAATGACCCACGGCTAAGAGTTAGGACGGAAGGATGGACGGATACCAGTGGGCAATGATTTCTTCTTGTGTATGATGCGGTCAGTCTCGACCCGCCCATTGACAACTCTACGAGCAGACCAATTGAGACGTTACAGCAACCAATTCGGTGTGCCCCCGCGGACATGGACACCAGGCGCTACACCTGAGGAAATGATAGCCCTGAGGCCCCGGGGGCAAACCACCGTTGAGGCTGTCTGTGCAAGCCGACGCCCTCCTCCTCCTCCTCCTCCTCCCTGTTTCTCCCGATCTCGGAGCAGGGCGAGTAGAATCAACGGCAGCTCACAAATCGGCCCACGGACCCCTCTTGGGGTCCAACCGCACCAGTTTTCAGAGCTGCGTCCGGTCGTGGCGACGAGGGCCCCCTCCGAAGTCCAACTAGCGCTGTCTCAACTCGCCCTCCTCGGATTACTCCCTCTCCTCCCATCCGTGTCTCCCGCTCCTCTTCCTCCTCATCCTCGCCCCTCCTCCTCCCCCTCCTTCTTCTCTCTTCTCCTCCTCTCCTCCTTATCCGACGACGACAAAGACAAAGACAAAGACGCCACCACTACCGCCGCCGCCGACGACAACGACGCCGACGCCGAAGCCGACGCCGGATCCGACGCCGACGCCGACGCCGACCTGGAAAAAGACGCCGCCGACGACGACGACGCCGACGACCACGACGGCGATGACGCCGACGCCGCCGACGACGACGACGACGGAAGCGGCGGCGGCGGCGGTGGCGACACGGCGACGAGGGCGAAGAGTCTTGGGTCCTGGCGGTGCGGGCGGCCTGCTGGCCCGCCTTCGGGGACGCCTCCGGGGGGGGGGGCACGAGGAGGAGGGAGGAGCAAAGGGCAGGGAGGAGGGCGAAGGGAGGAGGAGGGAGGAGAGCGACAGGAGGGGCGGGAGAAGGGCGGAGGGAGGAGGGAAGCGAGGGGGGAAGCGAGGAGGGAAGGGAGAGGGCAGGAGAAGAGGGCAGGGAGAAGGGCGAAGGGAGAAAGGAAGCGGAAGGACGTTGGGAAGCTGCTGCTGGGAGATCCCCGCCGGAAGGATTCAGGAAGATGAAACCCCACTGGGGGGCTGCTACGCCGGATTTGGCCGCGGATCAGGCGGGATGAAGCCGGATCGAGCGGGGTCAAGCCGGATTGAGTGGGATCGCGCCAGATTTCGGACAAGGGCAAAGTCAGAATGTGACCTCCCAGGAGCTGCTTTCGAAAGAGAAGGGGGCAGGGAGAAAGGCGGAGAGAGGAGGGGAAGCGGAGGGACGGGAGCGGCGGAGGAGGGGCAGCAGAGCGCCGGAGGGCGACGAGAAGGTCTCACACACGCGCATGGTCCGGGTGGCCATCCGAGTGAAAGTGGGGTAAAGACTGGGGCCGAGGTGGATCAGGAGAGACGGGAGACAGGTCGAGAGAGGGAGGGCAGAGCATGAACAGAGAGCGTGGAGGAGGGGCACTGAGGGAGGAGACGAAGGAATAAGATGAGGAGATCCCTCCTCCGTCGCCACATCAGTATCCTTCTCTTTCTCCTCGGTATTCCCCCTACTCCTTCACTGCGAAAACCTCTTAATAGATAAAACGTTGGACGGCCACCACACAGTCTCCATAACCACCCAAAACACTCCTCCTCCTCCTTCTCCTCCTCAACCTCCTCCTCCTCCTCCACCTTCTCCTCCTCCTCCACCTTCTCCTCCTCCTCCTCCTCCTCCTCCTCCTGGATCCCCCTGCACTCCCCCTCGATACGGCGGATACAGTTCTCTGGCGTGCACACCAACGCTAAGCCAATAGTAGGTCGGATAAGGAAAACAATGCCAATGCCATGCTGCCCGGACGACCCAATCAGCGTGCTACTTTTGAAAAAGTGTCAGGTTTTTGTAAACAACCCAATACATGTGTAACACGTGCAATTTGGAAGACGGCGCGCGTGTCACGTATGCCCGTCGGTCGAAAGAAGTGCACGCAAACAAGAAGTAGGAGGTCGTTGAACATAGATTGGGTTCCTGCGTGCCACCTTAGGATGAAGGGCATGGAAAGCCATTCGAGCATTGAAACGGGAAGGCACCCAACATAGACTCGAGACTGGGGGCCCGAACATACCTGCTTCCGGGTACTGCTGACAACGCCCGAGTTGTCCTGGCCATGGTCTGTGTGACCAGGCGTGTACGCAGAGTATCGCCCGATCCCCCCTTGGAGCACGGAGGACGGAGGACGCCGGCCGTCATCGCTGACGACCCTGCGACGGTGGCGGCGACGACGGTCCCGCATGCGCCCTCGCTCGGGGCCAGCCTCCACATGCGGAGTGTCACTGCGGTGGCTCGTGGGTGGGGGCTGGAGTGGTACGAGCGAGAAGGGATGGGCTAAGGGAGAGAGAGTCTTGCGTTTCGCTCGCGCCTGGCAGGGGTGTCGACTCGAGCGGCGGAGGAGGTGGCAGGGAGGCAGAAAGAGTGGCTGGATCAGAACGTGCTGTCGCACCCCACTCCTCCCCGACACCGTCCCGACGGTCACCGTCCTGACAGCGTCCCTTGAACTCCGCCCAGCCGCGACGACGAGGCCTGCCCCCCTACCCATGAGCCAAGCAAGGGCCAACGTCTTCATGAAGATTCGGGGGTGGACAAAGGCCCCCTTTACAGTGGAAGCCGGTCCACAAGAGACCTTCCGCAAGACACCCCACCATGAGACCCCAGGACGTCCATTGGTTTTTGGTATGGGAACGTCACACATGCCATAGGACAACAATCGAAAGCCAAGAAGCCCAGGGCAGTCTGGAGGCAAGCAGGGTCATCTCCGAGGGCGCGCCGCTGGATGGCCCCAAGGGGGGGGGGACCCTCCCCCCCCCCCACTCCCCCCCTTTCCCCGATCCGTCGTCGGGGAACCCTCTCCCTCCCTCCCCCCCTTTCCCGGTCCGTCGTCGGGGAACCCCCCTCCCCCCTTTCCTGGTCCGTCGTCGGGGGCCCCCCCCACCCCACCACCCCCTTTCAAAAGGGGGGGGGGGGTCCTACCCCCCCCCCCCCTCCTCCCCCCTTTTGGCCGCCAAATTCGAACCCCCACCCCCCCTCCCCCCCTTTCGCCACGGCGCCCCCTGTCTCTGGAACCCGACCCCTACCACACCTAACACTACCACCCCGACCACCCGTGACCCTAACCCCAAACCCGAACCGTAGCCCCAAACAGCATGCAGTACTCATTATTCACTACTCACTACCCACTACTCACTACTTGCTACTCGCTACTCACTTCTCACTACTCACTGCTCACAACTCACGACTCACTACTCACTACCCACTACTCACAACCCACTACACACTACTCACTACTCGCTACTCCCAACGCACTACTCAATACTCACTATTCACTACCCACTAGTAAATATTCACTACTCTGTATAAGCACTACTCACCACCCACTACTCACAAATGACTACTCATTAATCACTACTCACTACCCTCCAACCACCATCCACTGTTCACTACTGAATACTCCTCATTCGTTACTCGCTACTCATTGCCCACAACTCACTACTCACTATCCGCTGCTCTCTACTCGCTACTCCCTACCCCCTGCACAGTACTCACTGATCACTACTCACTACTCACTACCCGCTATTCCCTACTCGCTACCAGATAAGCAGTTTTCACTACCCACTACGCACTACTCACTACTCAATGCTCAATACTCCCTACTCCCTACTCACTCGTCACTGGTCACACGTCACTACTAACTGCTCACTACTTAGTACTCACTACTCAATACAAACGACTCACTACTCACTACTCCCTATTCGCTATCCCCTACGCACTACCCACTTCTCACTACCCACTTCTCAATTCTCACTACTCACTCATCACTAGTCCCTACTAGCTACTCACTACTCACTACTCGCTACTCCCTACTCGCTACTCACGGAGTCCCTACTCGCTACTCACCAACAACTACTCCCTCCTCATTACTCACTACTCACAATGATGCCCTACTCGGTACTCACAATTCACTACTCGCTACTCCCTATTCGCTACTCGCTACTCACTACCCACTCCGCACTCCCCACTACTCAGTACTCGCTACTCACTACACATTACTCACTACTCACTATTCGCCACTCCTCAGTCGCTACTCACTAATCCCTACTCACTGCTCACTACTCACTACTGACTACCCCCTCCTCGTTACTCACTACTCACTATTCACTACTCGCTACTCCTTACTCGCTAATCACTACTCACGACCCCCTCCCCGCTACCCAGTACTCAGTCACTACTCTACTCACTGCGCACTACTCCCTACTCACTACTCACGACTTACTCCTCACTACTCGCTACTACCTACTCACTACTCACGATTCACTACTCACTAGTCTCTACTCACTACTCACTACCCACTGTCCCGAGGCCAGACCCACCCCCTTGCGGGAGAGGCCCCTTCCCTGGCCCCGTGTTCGGCGCAAATGGGGGGAGGGGGGGGGGTCGAACCCCCCCCCTCAAGCGCCAAGGGGAGGAGGGGGAGGGGTCCGGAACCCTCCTCTCCCCCTTCAAGAGGGGGAGGGGAGGAGAGGAGGGGGGGGATCGAAAATCTCACCCCCCCTTTGAAGGGGGGGAGGGGTGGGGGGGGGTTTTGCGAGCACACCCCCCCTTTTCAATTGCAGGGTCATCCACTGGTGCGCTTTCGTCATCTCCCCCCCGACCCAGACGTCGTGATTTTGTCGTGACGTGGCCTGCAGAAGTCTGGACCCCTTCCCGGGGACCGGCGTCTCATCCTGCGTCGTTTCTTGAGGGCCCCGAGGCCCAGTGGGGGCCCCTGGAGGCCGAAAACGGCGAAACACCTCCCGCTCAGGGCCTGACGCTGGTCCTCTTCCCTCTTTCCCCCCTCCGGCGACGGCGGCGGTCGGGCCAGGGGGGGCCGCCTTCGGGCGTGGCGCGGGGGACTTCGCACCCCCGGGGGGCGCGGGTGACCGCTGCGGCGGCCGCTTCGGCTTGGGGGAC